TTCTAACATGGTTCTAACATGTTTCTAACATGGTTCTAACATATTTCTAACATGATTCTAACATGCTTCTAAAATGCTTCTAACGTGATTCTAACATGGTTCTAACATACTTCTAACATGATTCTAACATGTTTCTAACATGATTCTAACATGGTTCTAACATGGTTCTAACATATTTCTAACATGATTCTAACATGCTTCTAACATGCTTCTAACGTGATTCTAACATGGTTCTAACATATTTCTAACATGATTCTAACATGCTTCTAACATGCTTCTAACATGTTTCTAACATGCTTCTAACATGTTTCTAACATTTCTAACATGTTTCTAACATGATTCTAACATATTTCTAACATGCTTCTAACGTGTTTCTGACATGCTTCTAACATGTTTCTAACGTTTCTAACATGTTTCTAACATGCTTCTATTATGGTTCTAACAAGGTTCTAACATGTTTCTAATATGGTTCTAACATGTTTCTAACATGGTTCTAACATATTTCTAACATGTTTCTAACATGGTTCTAACATGGTTCTAACATTTTTCTAACATTTTTCTAACATGTTTCTAACATGTTTCTAACATGTTTCTAACATATTTCTAACATATTTCTAACATGTTTCTAACATGCTTCTAACATGGTTCTAACATGGTTCTAACATGTTTCTAACATGTTTCTAACATGGTTCTAACATGGTTCTAACATGTTTCTAGCATGGTTCTAACATGGTTCTAACATGGTTCTAACATATTTCTAACATGGTTCTAACATGGTTCTAACATGGTTCTAACATGTTTCTAACATGGTTCTAACATGTTTCTAACATGGTTCTAACATGGTTCTAACATGTTTCTAGCATGGTTCTAACATGGTTCTAACATGGTTCTAACATATTTCTAACATGGTTCTAACATGGTTCTAACATGGTTCTAACATGTTTCTAACATGGTTCTAACATGGTTCTAACATGTTTCTAACATGTTTCTAAGATATTTCTAAGATGTTTCTAACATGTTTCAAACATGTTTCAAACATGCTTCTAACATGCTTCTGACATGTTTCTGACATGTTTTTAACATGTTTCTAACATGTTTCTAACATGGTTCTAACATGTTTCTAACATGTTTCTAACATGTTTCTAACATGGTTCTAACATGGTTCTAACATGGTTCTAACATGCTTCTAACATGGTTCTAACATGTTTCTAACATGGTTCTAACATGTTTCTGACATGCTTCTAACATGTTTCTAACATGTTTCTAACATGCTTCTAACATGCTTCTAACATGCTTCTAACATGGTTCTAACATGGTTCTAACATGTTTCTAACATGTTTCTAACATGGTTCTAACATGGTTCTAACATATATCTAACATGTTTCTAACATGCTTCTAACATGTTTCTAACATGGTTCTAACATGGTTCTAACATGCTTCTAACATGTTTCTAACATGGTTCTAACATGGTTCTAACATGGTTCTAACATGGTTCTAACATGTTTCTAACATGGTTCTAACATGTTTCTAACATATATCTAACATGTTTCTAACATGTTTCTAACATGGTTCTAACATGTTTCTAACATGCTTCTAACATGTTTCTAACATGCTTCTGACATATTTCCAACATGCTTCTAACATGTTTCTAACATGCTTCTCATGTGATTCTAACGTGTTTCTAACATG